TTACAATTCATATGAATATCCTCCGGTCCTAATTTAAGACCCAATTGACTTATTTGAGAGATTAAGGAAGTAAGTTAAGTTGGATTAAATAAGTTGTTATTCCTAAAATATCCTTGCTAATTAAGTATATTGGCTAAAACTATCATTATTAAAAGGATTATCTTGGAAAAAAATGCATAAATATAAAAGAGAAAATGGATTGGGTCTTATAATTAGGACCAAATAAAAAGTCAAATTGGGTCTTATAATAAGGACCGGAGGAGTATATCTCACACACAAATCGTCAAACGCAAGCAAAGCGCGGACGTTTCAACATATTATTTAAATAGAAAGGTGACAAATAAATGGGGAAAAAATTTCCCATTCACTGTCTGAAAAATAAAATCTAGCTGTTATTAAATACTAGTAATAATAACAAACATTATAATAAAGATTACATTTTTATTTTTTAAAAAAGAATAATTAGAAACGAATCCTAGGTAAGTCAATTTCAAGCCTTCATTTAAATATTGGGTATGACGAAAAGGAATGAATGAATAAATAAATACTATCCATAATCTTTAATGCGAGAATAATAATATTATAAATAATGGTTGATAAGCTAACACACATATGCTACCTCCGGTCCTTCATATAATAATTAATTCGATTTTCAATTTGGTTTTAAACATAAAATCTTAATCTATCTTGTCACTTATATTTATTCATTTTTTTAAGGTAATCATTATAATAACTGTACATTTTAAATGTTTCATCAAACGGTAATTTTAACTAGTATATTTGATTTGTAAGGGTATTTTAGAAAAGACAACACATATTTATTGAAGATAATTAACTTAACTATTTTTTTAATATACTCAAATTAGTCAATTAACTCTAATATTAAAGAATGAAGGTAGTATATAATAATAATAATAATAATATAGGTCATTGATAGTGGACGGGACTTTAAATTTGTTTAAATATTTTGACAAAGTAAACTCGTGATAATTCCACTTCATAATCAATTTGTTTCCCCTCTACAATATCTTTATGCACACATAAAGGCAACTCTATATGAGAGTAAATGATGCCACCAACTAAAAAACTAAAATTGCAAAATCGTTGGTTTAAGGGCAAATCTGCCTTTTCACTTCCCATTCAGGTCAAAAGGCATAAGCCAGCTTAATTTGACCACTGAGCAAAAAGAAAAACATTTTTATAAAATATTAAATAAATAAAAAAAGTTGCGGAAAAAGTCCTTCATTGAGAAATTTATTATTCAAAAATTCATAAGAACCCAAGTCCTTATGAGTAGATGTCACTTATTTTCAGTAAATGTAATTATATTTCAAGTGTGTGTTAACGTATCTATATCCGTACGCAAATGTGTTCTATTTTTTATATATAGCGGAAGACAAATCTTACACAATTAAAAAAATTGCATTTACTAAAAATAAATTATAATTAGGACTTTGAACAAATTTTGCATGCCTTTTGTTAACAAAATTTTGCAATGAAGAAATTTTCAGAATTTTTTCCTAAATAGATTCTATTGAAATTTTATTGAACTTCTAATTTTTTTAAAATTATAAACCAAATTACCTTGTACTAATTTTTTTTTTTTGCCAGCTATCTTCTGCCCATTTAAATACATATTTTTAAGGTAAGAAAATTGAATGGACAAATCAATTTTCCCCCTCCTCCGTGTACTATTATTCTTCATTCTTTTCAATCTTTTAGATTGTTAAAAATAAATGTAAGCAAATTGAATTTATTTTTTAATTATAATATTTTGATGATTATTTTGCAAAAATAATGACTGAAAATATTTTCTTTTACATCATGCACATCTGATATGATGAAATTATTAGCTAGGATTTTTTTAAAAAAAAATTGAAGGGGTATTTAAGTAATTGCGAAAAAACAAAAAGCAGATAGAAACAAACAGATAGAAATTGAAGTTTGGGTTGGAATGGGGATGAGCTGTCAAGTGTCAAGGTGCATTAGATTCTTTTATTTGATGCTCACCTGTTTTCCAGTCCCACTCTCCATTTCTTTTTCCTTATATATTTATTATTTATCCAAAATAAATTATTCATAAAGCTTAGCTAATAAGCCTCATTTTTTAATGTCTGATTATTCACTTTAACCTATCCTTATCCATTTAACTAAAAATATTATTGACCATGGAGTACACAGGAATATTCTCGGCTCAATTATTATTCCTGATCAAATTTAAACATTTTAATTACATGCTTTTAGATACCAAATTTAAAATGAACAATTTGAATTAAATAGGAGGGGAGATAATTTTTTATTTTAACAAAAATGAAGTTGAAATAAATTTCAATTGCTGTCCATTCTCTCTCTTCTAGTATCCTTCCATCTCCCAAATTTGAGTCATATTAAATACGTCTTACATAAGTCAAAACAAAACTTTTCTTAAATACTTATCTTGTCTTTTGTAAATCATCATTGAAAAACTGTTTATAAACCAATCTAAACAGGTTTTTGAAAATGACAATAGTCTGCCTATAAATCTCAATACACAAATTTAAATCTTCTTATTTCCTCAATCAATAGCATAAACTAGTTAGAGTTTAAGATGGATCGATTAGGTTATTAATAAGATTTGCCAGTAGCTCAGTTTAAACTGGAAAATTATTTTCATAATTGAATTAGATTGGATCAAAATTAAGTCACTATTAAATTAGAACTCAAAATTAGATCAAAGACCAAAAATAAAAATTGAATAAATATCGATGCTTTCAAGATCAAGAGCTAGTGACTTTTTACATTTAATGTCTAGTCCGACTTTTAAAATATCAATAATACAAACCTTTGCAATTATATTATTGAAAATTGAGTGATCTACTCAAGAGATGAGAGTTCTTACCTGGCTACACTTATGCTTCCTTGATTTGGTTTTAATTTTGAATATCTTTCCTAATAAATTGACAATAAAATTTTATCTTGAGCAAACAAGAGACTAATATAATCAGAAATAAAAGCATGTAAAATTCAAATACTTACTTTTTTTTTTTTGGTTGTCATTCAAATACTTACTTTACATCTAGTTACCGTCACTTAAGATTTACTTTACTATTAAAAGTCATCAATTTGCTTCTAAGAAAAGCTACTTTCTACGCGAGAAAAGGGCAATACCATTGGTTTTCAAAGGAGAGTGAGAAGGTCAATTGCATAATTACACAACAAATTAAAAACCTAATTTTTAATTACAAAAACGTGAGAATTCATGACCTGGGACAAAATGATCGCCAACTTAAAATATTAAAAAACTCTAATAATGAATAAATTGTGTTATGAACTGGGTGATTTTTATTTAGAGAATCACAGAAAAAGAAGCTGAAAATTATAAATCCTAAATCAGGTTTGGTAACACAACTTTATTTGGTATTGACAAGTCTGAATTTACAAATGACAATAAATTTTTGTTAATATTTCTTATTTGGCATTTACAAAATTTCATCTTCTTTTTTTTGTCATTGTCCCTTTTGTTTATTGTTTACTATTTTTGTTTGCTCTATGCATAATTTATTCTATTATTATTATTATTGTAATATATTTAAGCATCATTTTATTAAGAAATTTTTATTATTACTCTTTAAATTAAATTTATTTGTATTTGCTTTTATTCAAATTAATATATTTCTAATTTTGAATAGGGGAAAACTGAACTCAAATGTATTCTTCTGAACTGGAAAGGAAAAATCTCAACAACAAAAAATTACATTTTAAAATTTATTGACAACATTTGAAAAGTAAACGATAACACATTTTTTTAGTCATTCCTGATTTAGGATTTTAAAATTTTAAAAGTATTTTTTTGGGATTTTCCAACTAAAATCCGCAAGAATGTATCCCTAAAGTAATTTATTTATCTAATAACTTTTTTTGCTGCCCAAAATGCATTGATTTATCATATTATATTTATATATATCTCATAGATATTGATATAGGACTAATAAAAGTTGGTCCAAATAGTAAAAAATCAGCTAATAACTTATAAGATCATGAGTTTGACTCCTGTTAGACTTTTGTTAGTCTATAAGTCTCTTTGAACTAGAACTAAAATTTCATTTTAATCCAAAAAAAAATACTGCTATATGGATATTGGCTGGCAAAAAAAGGGATATTTGGATATTGATTGATAGTACCAAAAACGACACACTGGAGACAGCACAGCCTGGAAATAATGGAAACAGTAAAATGACACGAGGGAAACACCAGTGGGCTGGTGTGCTGATATAAACTACTGATAAAAGTATAGAAACTGATTGGGGCATGCTACGTAATTTCAGATCAAAAATAATAAATATAAAATATGAATGAATACTCCCTCCACTTAAACAAATCAAGGAAATTGTGTATTGAACAGCATCATGTTTTGTAAAATTAATTTATTATTTCCCCATTTATTTTATTTTTCTTCAACTATTCAGATAAATTCCACATATTTTAAAATTTAAATTTAAATGAAAATAAAAGGAAAAAGAAAAAATTGCTTAGAAAACCCCTCGTAAAATATTTATTGTCCAATGTTATCCAAAATTTGTTTAAAGAATTTAAATGCAATACACGCTATTTCATCTCTAACTATATATAATATAAAACATATTTATATATAATTAAAGACAAGTTGCACATAATTTGAAGAAGAGTTATATTAGAAGAAAAAAAGGAAAAATTCTAAAAAAAAATAATTGTTGAAATTTAAAATTTAAAGTTAAAAATTACTATAAAAATGTGTTGTCATTTGTTTTTCGAGTATAGTTATTTTTTTTTAGTCTAATAACTAATATTGATATAAAAATTTGCTATTCAATAGCAATTTTTTTGTAATTTTTTTTAAAAAAACTCAAATCCTTTTAAATTTACGAAAAACTTCTCAAATAGGGATGCTTTAGTAATTTTATGATGAAATAAAAAAATTATAATATAGTTTTTTTTAATAAAAAAAATCGTACAAGAAACTAGAAATCCAAATAAAGACATTGACTTTTGAAGCAGGGAAGAGAAGAGAAGAGAAAAAGCATACGAGTGAGTGTGAGGAGGCGAAGCAGAAACAGAGATCATATATTTACCAGAGACCCCACGAGCGGCCTCCTGCTCCTCCTCCTTCCTCCTCCCTCCTCCTTAGTTCTTCCTTTTCCTCCTCCTCCTTCTTCCCCCAAAGGTCCCCCACCATTCTCTCTCTTTCTCAGACACTGGTCAATCTCTGAACCCCACAAAAGAACTTGACACCCCATTTTTTTATGCCATGAACTTGCATCATCATCGTCGTCGTCGTCGTTGAATTTCTCGCCCCAAATAATAAGCCAAAAATTATTATTATTTATATTATTGTTAATAATCCCTCCGTTTTTTTGGCCTCCTTCCCCACCTCCTTCCCCACCTAAATGGAACTATCAGATTTGCAAACCAGCTCATCCACTCATCACCACCACCACCGCCAGAAGCAGCAGGTCTCCTCCACGACGTCGTCTCAGGTTGTGGTCCCCAGTTTTGATGGCAGGCCTTCACCTTCTTCCTCTTCCTCTGCCTCTTCTTCATCATTCATGGGCTCCATCTCCATCCAAGCTGGCCTTTCTTCCTCGTCTTCCTCGGCTTCGTCTTCTTCTGTTTCCTTATCCAATAATTCTTCTTCTGTTTCTGCTTCTACTGCCTTGCCTAATTCTGCTGCTTCTGCTTCTGGTCCTAATGCGTCCGCTGCTCCTCACCTCATTGATGCTTCCTTGGCTATCGCCACCAGATCTGATGCCCATCCGCCAGCTCGGCCTGGAGGGGTTGTGGATGCCGTGAAGAAGACTCAAATTCAGCAGCAATTGTCGATTTCCACGGCGGCCACGCCGCCGGCGAACCCGCCTAAGAGGTCCACCAAGGATAGGCATACCAAGGTGGATGGACGTGGCCGGAGAATTCGAATGCCGGCGACTTGTGCGGCTAGGGTTTTTCAGTTGACGAGGGAATTGGGGCATAAGTCCGATGGGGAGACAATTGAGTGGCTGCTGCAGCAAGCGGAGCCGGCGATCATCGCCGCTACTGGCACCGGCACGATTCCGGCAAATTTCTCGACACTCAACGTGTCGCTTCGGAGTAGCGGGGCGACGATCTCGGCCCCGCCTTCGAAGTCTGCTCCTCATACGTTTCACGGCGCGTTGGCTCTCAGTGCCCATGGTCACCATCATCATCCTTATGAAGAAGCTTTTCAACACACTGCGCTCTTAGGGTTTCACCCTCACCATCACCACCAACAGCAGCAGAATCAACCTCATCTACTGACCGCCAACCAGATTGGGGAAGCGATTCCGGTAGGCGGAGGCGGCGGGGAGAGTGGCGGTGGCGACGCACCTGATAACTATTTGCGAAAACGTTTCAGAGAAGATCTGTTCAAAGAAGATAGCCAATCACAAAACGAGAGTGGAGGGAGCTCACCCAAGACATTCAAGAACAATTTGCAACAAATCCCAAAGCAACAAGAAGCAGCTGGATCTTCGGGCCTTCTTCGTCCTACGAACATACTACCCGCCGCCGCTACCATGTGGGCGGTAGCACCAGCTCCGGCGAGTGGCGCAGGCAGCACAATCTGGATGTTGCCTGTGAACGCCGGGGGTTCCGGTTCAGGTTCGTCGTCGGAGACCCAAATGTGGCAGTTTCCGACTGCACAAGCTGGTTCTGGAAACAACACCGCACAGGCGCCCCTGCAATTCATGCCTAGGTTCAATCTTCCGGGGGGCCTTGAATTTCAAGGAGGTGGAGGTAGAGGGGGTTCTCTGCAACTGGGTTCCATGATAATGCCTCATCAACATCATCAGCAGCAACAACAACAACAACCATCTCAGCATCTCGGGCTGGGTATGTCTGAATCTAATCTGGGCATGTTGGCTGCTCTGAATGCCTATTCCAGAGCTGGTTTGAATATGAATTCTGAGGAAAATCATCCATTGGAGCACCAACACCATCATCAGCAGCAGCAGCAGCAAGCAACGGATAGTGGAGAGGAAGGTCCTAGTAGTTCTCAGTGACTTACAAGGGCGAAAAAGGAAAAAAAAAAACAATTGGTTAGTTTGCTTAATTACCATCTCTGTATATAATAAAAGCTGGGTTTTTCTCCTTTCATGTTGATTTTTTTGTAACTTGTGAAGCCAGAAGTAGAGAGTTTATTGGGTTTGTTTTTTTGCAGATTATTTGAAGTTGAATTTGTGATGATGAGTGCTTGAAAAATATTCCATGGATGTTGGTCCTCTCAGAACTGAGTTTCTTAGATGTGTGGTAGTGATGTCTTTCTTCTTCTTCTTTTTGTGTTTATTGATTTTTCTTCCTCTTTGGTTTGAGGAAGTTGATTTCTTAAGCTTGATTTGGAGAACTTTGTACTGTGATTCTATTAGCTTGATCTGGTCCAAAGGGACTGACAGGTAGCTGGCAGAGAGAGCTTGTATAGGAGGAAATTTATCTTGGTGTTGTCATTTTCTAGTTTGCTTCTTTTTGTTTTTTTGGCTTTTTTTTTTTTGTATAATATATGTTGGAAATTGAACATTTGGGAAAAAAATATTGAAAGCAAAATTTCAAACCTCTCTTCACTTTATATATACATAGGTCTCTATCTCCGCCTTATGTGACAGTAAATAAAAATGACAAATGATTGATTTTTTTATTGATGATAAGGCAAAATAAGCAAAAATACTTCAATCTTCTCTCTTTCCATATATGAGCTGTTTTGAGCACAGAAAGGCTGTGATTAGAGAGTGAGGATCCAACTAAGCATGATTATTATAAAATTAAGAAGAGAACTAGAGAGTTAAATAAAGGAATCTGAGTATGTACTGATTATTGGCTTTCACTTATATTGTTTCTATCTTTGAAGATAACTCACAGCAAGCATGTCAGGAGCATTCTAATTCTAGTTTGCCCAAGGACCACCCTCTTTCCTCCCCTTTCTGTCTGTCTGATTAAATTAATTACTTCTATTTTTAGCCCTTAAAACATGTTCATTTTATCACTTGAATCTCTGAACATAATAATTATTATTAAACTGGTCTTAGGTTTTTCTTTTTCCCACCAAAACATAAATTTGATTGTGTTTTTACAGTGCCTCTTAGGATATGTCTGACCATGGAAAAAGATTGAATTTTAAAATAAAAATAATTTTTAGATTTTTAATTGGAAAACAAGAAAATAATGAATAATATATTAAATAATATTGTGGATGATCAGTGATTTATTTTTGTTATGGCAGACATAATTGTTACATATTTTACTAAGAATCCAATTGTATTGTCATTGTCAAATACCAAAATAAAGATGATTGACTAGTAATTACTGACTCAGGGAAAATAATATTGGTAATACTTCACTTATTCACAGTAGTTACTGATGTTCTTGAGACATTTAGATTGATTTGATGAGAATAATTTTGTTTAATGAGGAAATAAAAATTATAGTTTGCTGAGAGTAGAACCAAAAAAAATCCCTTTAATCCTTAACACATCTGTCCAAAAAAAAAATTCTTAACATAAAATTTAGTTAGGAGTAGAATTTGACGATATATATTAATCCACTTCACCTTCCACGTTTATTAATTTTTTTAGAAATTAATTTGTCTAAATTATAAAATAATATATAATTTAATGTTATATGCGGGCAATTTAGGGAGACTAAATTACATTTGTTATAATTAACAAGTTTATTTATCCTTCATAATTTATCTATATTAGTTAAGCAGCACTGATATTAAAGATGGAAGGGAGTAGTTGATAATTAATTGATGATTTATTTTCCTGGCAAAAGGAATTAATTAATATTTTATAATCAACAACTAACCATCATCCATTATTTAATAGCATCAATAAGTTGGTATATATCAGTATGCATGACCAAACACAGCATGTCTACTCTAATTAACATTCTGTTTCTTTCTTATTATAATGTGCTTAATGTTGTTTTTTATACTTATTGCCAAAATTATTTATAAATTTTCCTCTTTTTTTTGTTATTAATTGATTTTTTATAAGCTCTGACCCAAAAAAGAAAATTGAATGCTGATTAGCCTGGCAGTCAATTATTACTTTATACTTTATTTATTTATTTATTTCTCTCATCATCTATGCTTATGCATATGTCTACATCTAACCGGATAGATAGTTGCCAGTTTGCCCTAAATTGTACCATGTTTTTTTTTAAAAAAAATTTCATGTTAATTTATCAAGTTTTGATTTAATTTTCAGAATGCATATTTCATGATTAAATGGAAACAATAACGACAATACCAAAAAAACACGCACAGAGTACTACAATTTAGAGGGGGAAAAAAAAAGTAGTAACCTAAATATAAATATCCTAGATAGGTTCTCTTTACACCGTGTAAAGCATAAAAGATCAATGATATTCTTTCAGTCTTTAATATAAAACATATTTAACTAGTTTGATTAAATTAAGAAAGTTAGATAAATTAGTTAATTATAATAAATATGACATGTTTTTTTTTTAAACATCATAATTATCTTTCTTAATATCTCTCCTCCTTTACTTACTTGATTATGATTAAAGGAGTATTATAGGGATAATTTAGAAAAAATTGATAAATATGAGAAATAAGTCTTATATTTAGGATCAAAATTAACTTAATAATTAAATCTTATATTAAGGACCAGAAGGGTAATTCATTTTAAATTTTGTATTAATTGATTGACATTTACAAATAGGTCAAAAAGATTTAGAAAAGAAAATAAAAATTTTGCTTTCTCTTTTTTTGCTAAAAACAATAGAAGCAAAAGCAAAATTTACAGAAAGATAACTTTGCGAGCAAGGCCGGGCCGGGCGGCAAGGAAAAGGACTGTTGGTGTTGACTTCAACAGTCAATTTCACATCTTTCAATCTTCTTTTTCTCTTTTTTTTTTTTCCTTTTTCTTTTTCTGCAAATTTTCATCACTTTCTTCCATTTTCCTTTTTCAGTATGCTACACTCCTACAATTCTGTGCCGTATATTATTTTGAACCCTTTTGTATAATTTCACCTGCCCTTATTAATTATGTATAAGCTACACAACTTTTTCCATATATCATAAAATATATAAAAATCACGTTATTCATGTTTTACAAAATTCATATATCTTATTATATATGAAAAAAACAAACAGTAGGATTCATTTCTTATACTTTAAGTAATATATGAAAAATATAATGAGCTTACACTATATGTTAATAATGGTTAATTCACTCGAAAAAATATATAATGGTTAATAATGCAAACCCATTTCTTTAAATTTTTTTTAAAGCAATTTAAACTCTGGACATACTGAAATAATAAATTCCAACAATTTAAAATTGTTGGGAGATGCATTAAAAAAAATTCAAATGCATGATTGACCAGCAAAAGCCAACCAAAAAAGCAAGAGGTTAGGTTTCATTTGGCAATTTTTTAAGAAAATATATTATGATATGATACTTTAGTTTGTCAAGTAAATCCTCCATATGATACCGTATCTTTTAGTTTAATATGTCACTATATGTTTTAGTAATTAATAACACCGAAACTAAACCTTCACATACTCTACAATAATTTTTAATTTTTATACAACAGAAAATTTTGCCTCTATAGTCACATCTGTAATTTAATTTAATAGTAACGATGATGATGATAATAATTAGAATAGCAATAGTAAATTATCAAACATTAAGAAAAATAAAATCATAAAAATTTTCTCAAAAAATCTTAACAGAGGTAACTAGGTAGTTTCATTTTAAAAAAAAAAGAAAATTTGCTAAAAATTAATCTTAAATATAATAAATCTTGCAACAAAAAAAAAAAGAGTGAGTATATATATACATTATAAACTAAGAAAAATACCCGGATCAATTTTTTTTATATCTATTATATCAAGCTCTTCAATTATACATGACTGTATGTTTTATTTTTTTTCATATGAATTTATAATTAAATGTTAATGAAAACTTCACATAACAAATATAAGAAATTGATACAATTATTGTTCATAACCTGAAACTAGTACCGATGGCTCTGCATCAACTTGAATGGATTCGGAACTCATTTAAACAAAGTCTCAAGTTTTAATTTTGTAAATAAAAAAAATTGCATCAAAAGTCTCTTTTAACCACAAAAAAAAAAAACCGAGATGGCTTGAATAAATAATCAGTGATAAATTTCACTAAAAGAGGTCCCATATCAAGTCGACGTCAAAAATATATTTTTATATTCCCCACAAAAATCACAGCCTCGTTTTTCTGCAAGCAATCTAATGATTTTGGAAAAATAATATAAGAGGAAGTTAAAAATTAACATATTCTAATTCAAATACTTAAGAGGTCAAAATCTCAAAAAAGAAAAAAAAAAAAGTTATGCCTGATTTGGTATTTTGTAAATGTAGTTGAATGATAAAAATACTCTTGTATAAAAAAGTTTATTAACATGTTGTGAATCGGTAATTACAAGTGTTAAATAGTAAATAACAAGAAATATACTGACAATAGTAAGTTATTTATTAATAAATTGTGAATTGATAATAATAAGTGTTGAACAACTAATAACAAGAAATGTGCTGATAATAACAAGTTTCATAGCTCTTGAAATATTACAATTTTTAACTTCTTTTTATGTTATTTTTCCAATGATTTTTCTTTAAAAAAAAGAGAGCAATGTGTGCTAATAATATACTAACATATGGTATTAATATAAAAGCTAACTAACAAATTTGAATACATTGAAAAATTTTATTAAATTAGTTATTTGTAATAATTAAATATTATATTTCTTAAAATACTCTTACTAATCATGTGTATTAGTTAGAATAATTATTTAATAAAAATTTTAACATGTATAACTATTATAAGAGCTATTTTGAAAAAATAGATAAATATGAAAAATAAAATAAATTGAAATATCATATTTAAAATCAAATTAAATGCTAAATTAGTTTTTATATTAAAAATTGGATGTTGTAGCTTAGAATTATAAGTTCGACTGAATTTATAACCTCACAGAAAAAGCCATTTTCATGATTGCCACATCAGATATATGCCATCTGAAATATATTTTCACTTCACATGCAAGTTAATTTTGAAATATATATTTACCCAAAAAAAATTAAAATAATATTTTTAACGGAGCATATTTTTGTTGATGAAATGAACGGTGACGATGAAAGAGGAAGGATGCGGTGAGATGGTGGTCACGGATGGCACAGTGGCAGTGGAATTGAAGTTTCGGGGACCACTTTCTGTCCGATGATGAACACAATAAAACCAAGACAAAGTCCCACGCGCTTCACGTGCTCTAATCATAAACCTACCCATTGAGAGGAGTTGGTGTGGGTGGATATTATTGGAGCGCGTGGACTCACAATTGCCTCACAAACATTCTCTCTTTTGCCACCCTGTCAAATAAATATTTTTTTGGCCAGCAGAGGAAAAATCGTAAATAAGCCCTGAAAAATATAAAATTTCATTTTGAGTCATTGAATTCAAAAAATTACTGTCACAGGCCAAGTTCTAGATATAAATCAGTAAATATTGTGTAAAAGACCAAATTGTCCTCATGTTACTTGAAATACTTAAGTTGTTGTTTGGAATGTTAACTTGTAATTTTTAATACTTTACTTTTTTTTTGATAGTATTATTTAGAATATTTAAATTGTAATTTTTAATATTACACTTGTTATTCTCAGTAGAAGAAAAATTTGGTCTTTTACATAATATTTGCTAATTCACATTTAAGATCCGGTTCTTAACAGTAATTTTTTGAATTCAAAATCCAAAGTGCATTTTTAAGTTTTCTAGTGTCTTTATTTATGACTTTGCCTAAACAAATTTTAATATATGTGTGTGTCATATACTCCCGTGTACTCAATTTAGAATTGGTTTTAGTCATAAATGTAATATTTATTTTTATATTTATCAATTTTTTTTAAATCACTCTGGTAACACTCCACAACCATAATTAAGTAAGAGAGATGGGGAAGATATTAAGAAAATGATTAGGATATTTAAAAAAATATGTCATATTTATTATAATTAACTAATTAAGCTAACTTTTTTAATATAATCAACTTAGTTAAATAGGTCTTACCTTAAGTATAAGAGTAGTATATATTATGAAATAAAGGGAAAATTACTAATAGTCAAACTAAACCTCGAGGGTTATATGTAAATATCACGTGTACTTTTGAGGCGTGTAATTGTGTAAATAAAACCAGCCAATGAAATACAAATAGGAATTTAATATAAAATATATATTGTATGTTAATACTAATACTTTTTTATTCTTAAAATTAGGCAAGTAACTTTATACATTATTCTGGCCAAAAAAAAAACTTTATACATTAATTAGATCACTATTTTTAAAGTAAAAATGAACTCATTATGTGAGTTTAAACCTTGCCTTGTTTACACTTCTAACTAATTTTTACCGCCTAAACCAGTCTCAAGTGACAATTTCCTTTTTTTATTTTGGCAAGGACCTCATGTGGCAAATTACTTCTTCGGTCCTAAATATAATACCCTTATACATATTAGTATAAGAGTAGTATAAGGGTATTATATTTAGGACCGGAAGAGTAATTCATAATTTTATTAAGAAAACAGGATATGTAAAGAAACTAATTGCATATGCTTTACATAATCTAAAATTTATGGCATTATCTAAATAAAAATGAAATTTCTTCAGATCCAATTCCTAAATCCCAGCAATCAGAATACCATTCTCTTCTCTGCATTTGGTTTGTCTTTTCTTGTGTGAATCTCATTCTCATGAAAAGGCTGATAGCTAGATTTTAAATTAATAACAAGTTGTCCCAGGGGAATAACATCGAGGCCTGGCATTGGATCATAAGCATCCTTCTTTTCATTCCATACGCTACCAAACAAATTTTACAATTCTATTTCATTTACTTTTTTGTTTGGGAAAAAGACAAAAAAAATATTCTTGAATTTAAAAATTCTCAAATGATCACTTAAATAAGTAGAATTTCAGTTTAAATATAGCTAACCAAATTGAGATTTTCAAATTCGCAAAAATAACCATATTCCCCTCTTTTTTAACCATTGAGCGCTTTTATTGGTCGGTCAGTCGCTAGAGCTCTAATGCCGTGATGGCCACCAGTCACTAGAGCTCTCGTGACTGACCAACAACCAGTCACTAGAGCTCCGATGGCTATCAACTATTTTTTTTGGGAATTTTTTTTCAATTCCAGTAACATGATTAACTAGCTTTTTAATGCTATTAATAAGTTCATTATGACAGTTAATAACAAATTTTTTAGTTAATCATTTTCACAACTTTAGTGATGGTAGCGTTAACAAGTTCTATAATGATGTTAACAACTCTTATAACGTTATTAACCATGTGATCAAAAAGCTTTTTGCATTTTGACAGAATAGTCATGGCATCGTAAATAGGGAATTTTTCAAGTTATGTAACATAGTTGACAAATTCTTCAACGCTATTAACAAGGTATTGCCGTTAATATCAGGTTTTCTAGGAAATTGAAAAAGTGACATTTTTCCAACTTTAATAACGCAGTTTACAAATCATGTAACAGTATTAACAGTTTTCATAACAAGTTATATAATAAAATTAACAACTCTCATAACCATAGTAATTGTCTAAAAAATGAAAAATTTTTTGTTATACAGCCTTTATAAGGAGTTAATATTAAAATTATCAACCTTCATTAGGAGATTTTGTTATTGGTGTTATGAAAGTTGTTAATATTATCACATAATTTGTTAACTGTATTATTGAAATTATAAAAATACAGTTTTTTGAATTTTCTAAAAAACTTAATTGTTAATAGTAATATCAAACTTATTAATAGTATTAAACTTATTAATTGCGTTATTGGACTTGAAAATTTTTTCAAAAATTGTCAACCATCAAAGCTCTGACATCTAGTCATTAGCCGGCCGCCTAAGCTCTCGCTAGAGCTCCAACAACCATTTGGCTTATACAAGTACTTGATGGTTTCTTTAAAAAAAATAAAATAAAGAACAATATAGTCATTTCAACAAATTTGAAAATTTCAATTTAATCAGTTATACCCAAACTAGAATTTTTTAAATGACCACTTGGAAATTTTCAAATTTAAGAATAATTTTTCTTTCATAACCCCCCCCCCCCCCCCAAAAAAAAAAAATGAAAGCGAGAAGGATGCATCCAAAGTCAAATCACCCGTCTCTATCTCTCCAAGTGAACAAGTGGAGAGGGCAAACTGGAGGCTGCTTGGATTGCGATTGGCAAAAACTGATAATAATATTTCTACACTGTGCAGTTCAAAAATTGGTGCAAAGCTAGCATGACTTGGCCGTGATACGCTATATTATAAGATCAATTACAGAGAAATTACATTGGCCTTTCTTTTCTGCATGGAGTGTAAAGAGCAGCGGCATCTGAAAACATGATCATCAGCATGCCAAAAGAACTGACAGGAGAGTCTGATGCTTCCACCTCCAACTGTACCCGGAAAAATAACTGACACGGTAGGGAAATTCTCGATGACCGTGGCAAAATTCCTTCCCGGAGTTTACACGAGAGAATTGTAAAAATGTCACGTTGATCTTGAGGAACTCTGCCGTCTGAGAGGAAGGGCGATGCCTTCAATCAAAGGCGCATCTTCAGTATGCCTAGGATGTCTAACAGGTAAAGATGTATGCGAACCTGCACATGATCACCTCACAGATGTCAGTAAAAAACTTTCTGTACTGCCAGTGAAAATGGGAGCAAGAGACTTATTCTACTTTCTTGAGCTTAAAGGTAAGGGTTCCAAGTCAGCAAAGCATACCATCGGACATATCCTTAGTTTTGTGAAGAAGAAAAGTTCCTGAAAGGATTGTCACAAACCCGCATATCTCTGTGACAACTTGTGTTGGACTTTGCCTATCCCAGTCCTGAATCGAATTAATAAGTAAATCAGGGATCAATATTATGACATGACAAATAGAAGGTGAATATGGGCTGCGTAGATATCACTCTAAAATAGACTGAAGTGATTTAAGCATGTGAAAAGAAGGCCGCTAAGGGTGCCATTGTAGAGAGTTGAGTAGATGGTCTTCACCCCATTGAAAAGACATAGAGGGAGACTGAATGAATTTCAGAAAATTATAGAACGAACTGTCACAGTAAATGACATACATATGATTAGCTTTAGGGTCATGCAGTCTATATGGGAAACCCCACTTGATAAGATACCAATTATTATTGTTTTTGTTATTCCAACCCAAGGTATGGTTTCTCACAACATCAAAAAACAACGGCCACCTTGAAGAAAATGGTCTTTCACGTCACCTTGAACACTAATGTCCTGTTAAGGAGGAAGGGGTAGGAAAAGAAAGGATTTTGGGGATTGGGGTTTTCTTTCATAGGTCTGTATTTTTCAAAGAAAGAAAGGAAAGAATTGGGAATGGGAAAAAGCTGAGTGCGGCATAAATGTTGCACCGCACGTAATCTATCCAAGATGGGAAGGAAAGGAGAGACAGAATTTTTACTGTCAACCTCACAAATAATTTAAGTAAATAGAAAAGAAAGCATAATTGAATTATAAAGAAAAATGAAAAAAATAAAAATCTTATCATAAGGTAATTTGACATCTATATATATATTATTGGGAGAAACATGCCTAAGAACCAAATTTAAAAATCTTTTACTCTTAAAGGACCACTAATGGTAAATATTCATTGTTCTACTTGTAAATTTGTGTTCTCTGAGTGATAGTGTTAAATATCTTTATAGTAGTAAATTTGTGTTAAGCAAATGGCAAATACTCAGTTTGACTGGTAAATTAGAGGGCTTTTTTAATAAATAATTTGTAAATTTGGTCCTTCGTATATTGTTTTCTTACCTTCCCCATCATGAAACCCAAACAAAGGGAATTTTCTCTGCCTTTTCATCCTATCATATCAAGTGTAAGATAACCCATCGACTCTCTTTTCCTTCCCTTTCTATGATACCAGACAAGGCATAAAAGAATATGGTTGATAATTTGCATATGATTCCAAGGAGTGACTAGAGTGCCCATTTCAAGAAACAGGTGAAGACATACTGATGGATATAACTCCAGGAAACTTTATTATTCAATGAAAAAGACGCAATCCACAGGGTATAACCTAATGGAATACAATGACTCGAGAAACAGTAACCTAGTGCATTCGAGAGCACCACTCTCCTCGCCACTCTCTAACAGATTCCATGCCTTCTCCCACAACCGACTCTGACATATATCCCTCTATCCTCTAACTGTCACTTACTTAATTACCACAATTACCCTCGGACCGAACCCCACATACACACGACCCTTTACAAGTTGGGCTTCATGACTACTTATGGACTTTCTTCCTCACATAGGTGTACTGAGGCCCGTGCTCAACAATACCCCCCCCCCATGAAAAGCAGCCTTGTCCTCAAGGCGGAAGTCAGGAAATTGGTGCTTGATTACATCATAAGCTTCCCACGTACTGTCAGTAGCAGGGAGATTTTCCCATTGAACCAGAAGTTCAAGCTGACCATTAGTCAAACGCCGATGCTGTACCACTTTGCTAGGATAGACCTGGAGCTCCATATCAGCAGTCAAGGACGAAGGGAAAGAATGGGAAACCAGGTGTGGAGAAAGAGATTTCTTGAGTTGAGATATATGGAAGACAGGATGGATGCACGCAGTATCTGGAAGTTGCAACCTGTAGGCAACCGGACCAACCCTGTCAATAACAGGAAAAGGTCCATAGAACCGTGGACTTAGTTTTTCATTAGGTCTGCGAGCTAAGGACTTATGGCGATATGGTTGAAGTTTCAAATAGACCTTGTCACCCACATCCAAATGACAGTCACGACGCTTCTTGTCAAAATAAGTCTTCATAAATTGTTGAGAGCGCTCTAAATTATCTTTCAACTCAGCCAAGATGAGATTGCGGTTCTGAATATGTGTATTGACAGCTTCTGCTACAGAAGATGGTTCTTGAAAACGGTACAGGGTGGGAGGGTCTTGACCATAGAGAGCCCGAAAAGGAGACATCCCAGAGGAGCGATTATATGTGGTATTAAACCAATATTCGGCCCAACACAGCCATTTGGACCAAGTAGAGGGTTTGCTACTACAGAAACAGCGAAGGTATGTTTCGAGACTACGATTAACAACCTCAGTCTGACCATCGGTTTGTGGATGATAACTGGAACTATATTTCAGTGTAGTACCAGCAGCCTTGAAAAGTTGCATCTAGAAGGTACTCAAGAACAGTTTGTCTCGATCAGAAACAATAGAATGCAGGAAACCATGAAGACGAACGATATCTTTAACAAATAATTCTGCCACATCATGAGCAGTGTAGGGGTGACGAAGGCACAAGAAATGAGCATACTTGGTGAAACGGTCAACTACCACCAGAATAGTGTCATAGTGTTGCGATTTGGGCAACCCAGATATAAAATCCATGGATATGTCAGTCCACACTTGGTCAGGGATAGGTAAAGGTTGCAGCAAACCAACAGGACTAAGCGCAAGAGTTTTATTTTTCTGACAAATGTCACAAGTTGCGACATACTTCTGGATATCCCTACGCATACCATCCCAATAAAACAAATTAGAGAGGCGCTTGTAAGTCCGTAGATACCCGGAGTGCCCACCAATAGGAGAATCATGGAAGTCACGTAGCAAGATCGGTATGCGAGAGGAAGACTTGGGTAGTACCAGTCGGCCATTAAAAAGTAAGTGTCCTCCGCGTAATGTATAACCTGTGGGAACTGGTTTTCCAGAAGCCAGAGCCTGTATAATGTTGGTCAGGGAGGTATCCTGCTGGACTTCTTTATCCCAGGCATCACTATCCATGGAGTGCAGTACAGAAATGGCTTGAAGATCCATTACTGCTCCCTTGCGAGACAGGGCATCTGCGGCCGAATTTGCAGTGCCAGGTTTATATTGGATCTGGAAATCATAACCAAGCAATTTAGACACCCACTTGTCCTGTGAATCTTCTAAAACACGCTGCTCCAGCAAAAACTTGAGAGCCTTCTGATCAGTACGGATGATAAATGAACGGCCTAACAGGTAGCAACGCCATTTCCGCACCGCAAACACTATAGCCATCAATTCACGCTCATATACAGAACATTGGCGCCGCCTGGAAGATAAGGAGTGGCTGTAGTAAGCCAGAGGCCGACCAGACTGCATGAGCACTGCCCCCAAGCCACTCCCAGATGCATCAGTTTCTACAATAAAAGGTTGTGAGAAGTCGGGTAAGGCCAAGACTAGAGTAGTGACCATTGCAAGCTTGAGTTTGTCAAAGGCAGCCTGGGCTTCTTCATTCCAACAAAAAGCATTTTTCTTCAACAAATTGGTTAATGGAGCAGCAATGATGCCATAGTGACGCACAAAACGCCGATAGTACCCCGTTAAACCCAGGAATCCCCTTAAGCTCTTTAAAGTAGTTGGGACTGGCCAGGAACTCATGCTCTCAATTTTAGTAGGATCCGCGTGAACCCCGGATGGAGAAATAATGTGGCCCAGATACTCTAATTTCGACTGAGCAAAAACACACTTTTTTGTGTTAATAACTAGTGAATGATGCTGCAGAATCTGTAAGACCGTCCGGAGGTGCTGCAAATGAGATACTCTGTCATCACTGTAGACTAAAATATCATCAAAAAAAACCAATATGAACTTGCGTAAGTACTGTCGGAAGATATCATTCATGAGGGATTGGAAAGTAGAAGGGGCGTTTTTGAGACCAAAGGGCATGACCAGAAATTCATAGTGGCCATCATGGGTGCGAAATGCTGTCTTCGGTTCCTCCCCCTGTCTCATGCGAATCTGGTGATAACCAGATTTTAAATCCAATTTAGAAAATATCCGAGCCCCACCCAGTTCATCCAGCAACTCTTCAATGGCAGGAATGGGAAATTTATCCTGGATAGTGACTTTATTCAGGGCCCTATAGTCTACACAGAATCTCCAGCTACCGTCCTTCTTCTTAACTAGGAGTACAGGACTTGAGAAAGGGCTCTTACTTGGTCTAATAATACCGACAGCCAACATCTCAGCAACCAACCGTTCAATCTCCGCTTTCTGATGATGGGGATAACGGTATGGGCGAATATTAGGGGGCCTTGCACCGGGTTGAAGATCAATAGTATGATCTGCTGCACGTTGGGGAGGTAAGCCATGGCCGGCATTCTGAACTGAAGGGTACTCCGCCAATAACTTCTGTACATCTTCGGCTACAGGTGAAATAGCTAGTTCGGTCATCTTGAGTTCCGCGAATTCAACAAAGAAAGCCTCCTCATCACATCTCGTCGTGCGGTAGAGAGAATTGAAGGACATGGGTGTCTGCTGTAAAGCGGGATTTCCCTTCAGACAAATCCAATCTCCACCCATATCAATTTTAAGGGTCGAACGTTTCCAGCTCACTAACACCTCGTCAAGAGAGGCCAGCCAATCAGCACCCAAGATAATATCAGATCCTCCTAGCTTGAAAGGATACAAAGTGTGAATGATGTGGAGACCCTGAACAAAAATCGACACATCCCTACAAACACCGCGTCCCTGTACATTACGCGAGTCCCCAACTTGCACCGTGAATCCAACATTAGAGTCGAGGGAGAGGCCTAGGGAATTGATCAAATTATGATGAATAAAACTATGGGTAGCCCCACAGTCAATTAGAATCAGAACCTCCCTACCACACACGGTTCCCACGAGTTTGATCGTTTTCCCTCCTGTAAACCCGGCGAGAGAATTCAGCGATAGCGCCATCAATTGTCCTGGCTGTGTCTCGGCTTCCCCCAATGGTGGCTCTGCGGCTACAGGTTCGAGAGCTTCAGTCGCAAGAGGTGGCGGCGGTAGGTGTGTCTCATCGCCTTCATCGCCCTCGTCAGATAGAATGAGGACTTGTAATTGCTTTTTCTTGCAGCGATGTCCTGGCCGAAATTTCTCATCACATTTGAAACAGAGACCGAGTTCGCGGCGTCGTTCAATCTCTGCAGCTGTATACTTCTTTGGGACTGTCCGACTAGTATAAGTCACCGGAACACTAACGGAGTTCGAACCTGCTGAAGCCTTTGATTCTAAGGTCGTACTCGACGCCGTGGTCTGTGTGGGTTTTCCAGAGTCCATGGAAGATGAGTTCCTGTTGTATTGGGTTCGCTGTCCAGTACTGTTGGCCCAAGAACGTTGCAGCCCAGCCCCATGCGAATGTGGATATTGGGTCATGACCCAATTCCTTTCCTCCAGTCTCAACGCCATGTCCATGAGCTCAGCCAGGGAATTCAGCTTCATCAATCGCAGGTCCGCCTTGACTTCAACACGGAGGCCATTGAAGAATGCAGCGATTAAAACTTCATCGTCACAATGATCTAATGTGGCCGAAATTAATTCAAAGCGTTCGATATAATCTGCCACAGAGCGCGTTTGTCTCAGCGCCATCAACATCTCATACGTATTACCGTATTGCGACGGGTGGAACCGGAGAATCAGGTCACGCTTTAAGTTCGGCCAGTTCGAAACAGGGGAGCGTGTTTCCTTCCACTGAAACCAGTTCAATGCTCTCCCCTCAAAACACAAGACTGCCGCATCCAGTTTATCATGATCGGGTACCTTATTGACTCGGAAGTAACGTTCAATCTTGAAAATCCACCCCATAGGTTCTTCTCCTGAAAACAGAGGCATGTCCAATTTCCGGAATGCCGCATGATCGGTGTCGTCAGCCCCACTCTTGTCGTCTATCTCAACCACCTTAGTCTCAGCTTGACTAACTTTCGGCAAGGTCGATTCCGATGTGTGTGCTTCCACATTCTCCGGTCCTTTCTTCGATCGTAGCTCGGCCAACACATCTCCCACCATCGATTTCAGAACCACCAGCTCATCAGCAAGCTGTGCTACCTTTTCTTCATTCTGAGTCATACGAGCATTCAAGTCTTCCATCGTTCGGGTATTAACCATTCCCAGGTGTTACTGCTCTAATACCTTTGATGGATATAACTCCAGGAAACTGTATTATTCAATGAAAAAGACGCAATCCACAGGGTATAACCTAATGGAATACAATGACTCGAGAAACAGTAACCTAGTGCATTCGAGAGCACCACTCTCTAACAGATTCCATGCCTTCTCCCACAACCGACTCTGACATATATCCCTCTATCCTCTAACTGTCACTTACTTAATTACCACAATTACCCTCGAACCGAACCCCACATACACACGGCCCTTTACAAGTTGGGCTTCATGACTACTTATGGACTTTCTTCCTCACATAGGTGTACTGAGGCCCGTGCTCAACACATACAAACAACAATAAATTTTAATTTGTCTCCCTTAATCTCTATATTTACTATTGCTTTGTCTTCTGCAATTACAATTTAGGATACACTAGTTAATATTTCAAAGAACAGTAAGACCAACATTTAAAAAAATGTAAAATGCACAAACAAGATACTAAAGGTAAACTACAATCACTGGCAATGAGCCTCAACTGTTCAACAAATAGATTATATCGGACAGTGAATCCAGATAATCTGAATTCTGAACACAATCATCAGAGACTTGAAATAAAGCGAGGAAGGCATCCAACAGTATCAATTAGCAAAGTGACCTTACCTTAAACATGATAATGCTAGCCAAAATGGTTAACGATGTGAACATAACGTAATATATGGGAGATACCACTGCTGTATTGAAAGTATCCAGTGCCTAAATTGCAGAAACATTAGAATAATTATCATATGAATAATAGAACCACAAGCACTTGACAAAGACCAAATAACTATAAGGAGGTGAGTACATGTAAATGAAAGCAGCAGCAAACTAATCCAAAGCCACACAAATCTTTAATCAAGTTTAAAGGTATCAAGACTATGAACTTGTTCTCATATGACCAGTTGAATATTCATTCCTGAAAAGACTTGTATGAGGACCAAGTGAGGAGCAAATGCAAAAGTGATGGGGAAATTAGATGACCCACTAACAGTAGAGAAGGGTAGAATGCGTTTTTCCATGCTCATCTCAAACTTAAAGGCCGTCTGACTATTGCTTTAACCATTTAAACAAGCACTAGCGGCCTTATCTGCATTCAAATTATCAAACCATTCATTACAACTGCTGCCCCAGGTCTTCTCTCTATTGATTACCATCCTTCAAGTCATTCGAATCTTCATTAGGATTTCATTTCAGTTTTGATCCACTACTTAATCCAGATAGAGCAACCGTGAGTACTCAAAATTGCTATTCTCCCTCATGAACAATCATCAATATATCAATACATAATATCAAATTTATAGCAAACAACATTATTCATAAGTTATAGACAATGCGATTTGTTCCTGAGACGCTGCAACATGCACAGAACCTAAATTCGTTTATGTAAAACAAGCAGATTTTAAGAATTCAATTCTCTGTCGCAGAGACCTTCCAAAAGGCTACAGAAAAATTCCACCTCCCTTTCAATTGCATTTCCCCCCATTTGAAAAAAAAATAAAATTACACATCAGTAGTTCTTAGTTTTTGATACACGCACCTTATGATCCTGCGAAAATTATTTTCATTTCCTTAGTATCTTGTATGAATTAGGAGTTTAGCATAAGTTATATTTTTACTTGTATAACCCACTCTTAGTAGCAGGCCGAAACTAAGGAAACTGCACCTATGTAGCCCCATTGGCAATTACATACAGCCACATAGGTGAAAATTAAAAACATATTTTTACAGCTGAGAGGGCTTTCTAAAAGCGTGAAAAGATAACAAATAAATAAATAAACAGAAGTTTTAGGACAGGGACAAACAGCCATGTCAAAATTTTCTCGTTTTCTTACTTAAACTTCCCACTTCTTCATTTTATCATCAATGTTTTACCAACACATTGTAATTTCTGTTTATCATGTCAAAATAGATAACTACTCCGTTCTCTCTCATCTTTCCATACTATATACATTGGATGATAGTAAGGCACACAAGTCCTCCACCACCAAATTTCAACAGAAAAAAGATGAACAACACCCACGAGTCACAAGAGTTACAAAAATGACCAAAAGTCATGAACCATACCAATATGCTTAAAGGCTTTTTATGAAAATTGCCATTCAAAAAGCATGCCACGAACAAGTTAGATGAATATTATACTTCAACTGCACAATTTTATCTTCTTAACAATATATGACATGAGGTGCTGAAATCAAGAGCAGGGGAATAATAGGCATAAACATGAAAACACATGATACTGTACACATTCACATCTTTATATGGAAAGCTAAACAAGCCATTTCCAAGGGCACTAAGGAACTTGAAAATGAGAATTCAGGAAACTAACAAGAAAACAAGGAACAACAGTCAAGTTACCTTATTTAGATAATTCATTTGGGTAAGAACACAAACAATTACAACCAGTGTGAATGCCCAAGTTTGGGGATAAAAAAGTTGATTCATCCCTGAGAGAGTTAACTTCAAGGCAATTCCAAGTGCCTTTACACTCATGACCTATCAAATGATAACTTTAGGATAAATCACTCAGAAAAGGGCATAATAAGGGAAAGGTAAGACAACTAGAAAGTTAACAATCAGACGATAATGTGACATACCGACAGAGAACCTACAAGGGAACAAACACCGATATAGACCATTATGTGTGTCTGGCCATAGAGTGGAATAAAGTAGACGATGAGAATGAAGACAGCTATTAGAACCAAAGCTGCATATAAGATAAATGCTGCCAAAAGAAAAATTACAGGCCCCTGATTAGAAAGGAAAATCCAGTGTGATATTTTGGATAAAGATAGAGTCTCAGCCATAAATCTGACTACCTGGATCCATAGCAAGATCCCAAACTTGCGTCACTGATGTGATTTCACTCTCTTGAGGTGCGTGTAGAACAATTGTTGTTGAACCCACAACACACAGGATACAGCCAAGGATTCCAAACAAATGTAGCTTCTCCTGTAAAATAACATGAGCAAGTGCAGCACTGCAAGACAGTATCGGACGTCAGCAACTACACCAAAAAGTCAAGAATAAATAAAAGCTCAATTTTGGCATGCCTGATAATGATGCTCAGAGCACCAAGTGGGGTGACCAATATAGCTGGAGCGAATGCGTAAGCTGCAAAATTAGCTATCTCTCCGACAATCACTGTTTGAATTACAAACACTTGTTAGAATAATGCTCTGGATTTCTAAAGGTTCTTTGCAGGCTAAAATTTTCTTTTAAAGTTGATGATCTACGTTACTTTCCCTACTTTTAGAATAACTATGAAGTAGTGACTTGCTCAAAGCCGATACCACGGAAACACTGGATATAACAAATCAATGAAAAACTAAGAACATAAGTCAATAAGTATTGCCATTACAATAATATTTATAATTATATTACCTACCATTCTACTATTGAGTTATACATAAGCATTCATGATTTCCTCCTTGCTCTCTCCAAGGAACCTTAATTAATTAGCTTCTCCTTTGCTTAATAATTTGAGCTCTTCCACAATCCAATCAATTCTTAATCTTGTTCTTATGAGTTTCTCAAGCACATAGGGATTTTGTTGGGTTTCAAAATTACCTTCTAATGTTTTGATTTTTAAAGCACATAGAAATGCAAATCACAAAAATGAACCAGCTAAATGTGACTTGACTTGCTAGAATTCAAAAGCACTCAAACCCATGGCATCTAAAGAATTAATACAAACAAAGTCCAAATTTGATCCAGTAATCAATCCATGAAAAAGCATAATCAAATATAACTCACTTGTTATCATGCCCACCCACCAAAGAGGCTCATACAAGTAAGAGTAGCCTCCGTTTCCTGCCAATCATCGAAAAAGTTAGTCACCATCAACCTTGATCTATCACAGAAATGGTGTAGACAATACAAGGGAAACATGCACTAAACAACATCCATTCCTGTAGTAAGCTCAGACACTTGCGAGTTGTGAAACACAATTACAAACTCAAGGTAAATGAAAGCTGCTCCACAGAGAACAAGGCATCCCTATTGCCTTTACAACATTATTGTTTGTGCAGACTTATTTAACATTAACATAAAGGTCTAGTCAAACTCCATTATTCGGTTCAACTACATGAGCACAAATATATGCTAGGCTTGACAAAAACAAAAGGTCTAACGATGAAGTAGTTAATGCAGCATTAAAAAACTAAAGAAAAATCAACAAAACAACACATTTACTCAAACTTCAGATTTTGGTCAGCTCTGAACATGCTGTCCCCATTTAGTAGGTGAGACTACTTGTGGTGGTGGTGGTCAGCTCAGATTACATCTAAAAGTTGAAAAAAAATTCCAGATCCACAATTTTATTTTCAATGCATTCCTGTCATCTATCACAACAAAAGCCCAGAAACATGTGGCAAGGGAACAAAACTGACAAATGAGCTTCCAAGTCTGAGATGATTCCACAGTGACGAATAACTACACATTAAAATCTGATCCAATGTCGTTAATTGATAAGGATGGTGTAGATGAACTTGTTTTTGGTGATAACATGAGGATGCGGCAAGGGCAGCATGTATTGGAGAAGTGATAAGGAACAAGCTCATCTAAATCAAAGGGCTCGAGTTCAACATCAATTGCCAACATTGAGGAACTAGAGGCTGATACAGATAAGACAGGAATAGATTGAAAGTAATAAATCCAATGAAGTAGGAGGAGAAAGTGTTGACATTGGTGGGCTGAATCTGAAAGTTTCGATTCAGACAACTAATATGGTAGTTGATAGGCTTTTAGATTACTTTTTTGTCTTTAGAGAATGTTTAGAACTTGAGGAGTGCATATATCATTGAGGATTGACGTGGCTGATATATTTATTTTTTTCTTGCTCACAGTCATAACTTTTTATAATTATTGCCTTGAGGATGCCTTTCACCTTTGACTACCTTACCCTGGTCCTTAATGGTACCTCAAAGCTTTTATGGAAAAACAGACAAAAAGAAAAGACACGTCAAAGCACTACGCTAGTTTTGAGTCTGAGGTTCTTAATGGCATCTCAAGCCTTCTGGGTCTGAGATGACTTGACCATAACTAACAGTTAAACTCTGGTCCTTAAAAGCAAATATTTTATGAAAAGAAAAGGCTCGTCAAACAACTATATTACAAATCTAAGCGAATATTCCAAGTACCTACTAAGGAAGGATAAGCATCCATACGAGATCAAATTTATCACGTAAATGATACGATAATATGATCTTCATACCCATTTCGATCCAATTGATGCTCAGGCCTAACAGCAGAACCAATCTCAATTGATCAATTGAATTCGCACCCTAACCCGCCAAACCCCATTATATCATCGCTGAACTAAACCCACACTTCTTAAATTATTCCAAGAATTACACAATCAAAACTCATAATTAATTAAAAATTCGAGGGGGAAAAGAAGAACCTGCCCGTACTCCGCAAGAAGCAGCCTTCTTCAAGCCTTTCTTTTTCACAATGAAACTGGCACCAATGAAGAAGCTAGACGACAGAGCAAGACAAAGACCCTTCACATTATCGGATGACATCCCCCTGTAGGTGTCACGCCAGCTGGAAGTCGCCATTACTAAGAGAAACCCTTACTTCGCAAAGACAATGCCGAATCTCCCCAGTCCCCAGTGAGTGGGAACTCCGACTGGGTAAAGGGCGCGAATGGATCTTCGTGGCGAACAAGAAAAAGCAGATTCCTATGCAGAATTTCGTCGGTTATTGCAGTTTGGTGGAGGATAATGCTGCGAGTTCCCTGATCGGAAATCAATAAACCACAATTGGAGATGAATGGAAAGCCATTTAGGGTTCCAAGTTTGAATTCATCGATATGGAACGACACTCGTTCACAGTCCCAGTAAGGATAATGACGATATGAGTTCTACTCTCCATTTTTTTGGCATCGTGGTATCCAAATCCAAATGTTCTGTAGATTCGAAATGGAAAATTGGAAATAGTGATTGAGCCTCCAACGTGCAACTGTATATGTACGTTTCCTTTCCGTCTTCTCCGAAGCGTTCTCTCTCTATCTTTTTTTTTTTTTGGGCCAACTCGTACTTTCTCTTTCTGTTTTTGGTAAGCACTTATCGTACTTTCTCTTCCTACCTGGGGCCTGGGCTGGGCGGGGTCATCCTCTCTTTATTTTTGGTTCGTTATCATTTTTCATCTCTTCGTGGATAATAATATTTTATTTAATTTTAACAATACTTAATTAGCCAGAAACAATAAATTTTTATTGAAATTTCTTATTTGACATTTAATAATTTTAAACTTTTTTTATGGGATTCTTCCTAATTTTTCCCCATCAATTATTTGAGTTCTAAGCCAGTTTATTATGGTTTTCCTTGCCAGCGATTTAATTTACTACTCCCCATTATTTTATATATCAAATAAAAGTAACTAAATTATATAGATAAAAAAATTTTAAAATTAATTTTTTTAGCAGAAGCTAAAATCAATTAAAGATAATAAATATTTAAAAAGTATTTTATTTTCATACGCATTTTTATTTATGGAGGGAGAAAGAATGAATGAGAAAAAAAATGAGTAGAGCAACTTTAATTTTTTATTCGGGTCGTAATCCCGTGCTCCGTATGACGAAACATGATAGGCTGATAGCCTGTATATTTATATTTATATATGTCAATTATATTCACAATATTTAGGGTTTTATAATGAGAAAAAGATAGAAAAATAATAGTTAAATCGTGAAATTCCCAAAATGGTTACCTAAATAAACAAAATTCCAGGTTTGATATAGATGACCAATTTGCAATTTGCAAATTTGCAGAAATAACTGTATAGCCATTTATTTTTTTTAAAAAGAAAACCCCAAACATCCTTACTAGCCCACCAATCGCCAGAGCTTAGGTGGTTTGATGGTCAACAGAGCTTAGGTGGCATGCAACTATTTTTTTTACAGATTTTTCCAAATTTAGTGATGTAATTAACAAGTTCAGTATATCAGTTAATAACAAGTTTTTTCAGAAAATTTAAAAAATATTATTTTTACAATTTTAATAATATGGTTAACAAGTTATTTAGTGCTATTAACAAGTTTAATATAGCATTTAATAACAAATTTTTTGAAAAATTAAAAAAGTGACATTTGTACAATTTCAGTAACTTAATTAACAAGTTATGTAATAATATTAATAACTCTAATAATGCTATTAGTAACTTTAATAACAAGTCATGTAATGATATTAATAATTTTTATAACCATAATGACTACCTAATAAATGAAAAAAAATTGTTGTACAACTTTCACAGGGAGCTAATACTAGAAATACCAACCTTCATAGGAAAATTATGTTAATGATATTATGAGAGTTATTAATATCGGTACATGACTTATTAACTACACTACTGAAGTAATAAAAATGTCACCTTTTAAATTTTTTAAAAAATCTACTGTTAATTGCTATATTGAACTTGTTAACAGTATTATAAAACTTGTTAATTGTGTTATTGAAGTTATAAAAATATCATTTTTTAAATTTCTTGGAAAACATATTGTCAGCTTCTCACCATGCTCTTGCCAACTTTTTTTGTTGCTATTTTTAATCGTTATATACTTTATATTAATGTTCTAGGTATGGGAAATAAATAATTACCTTAAGAAAGTTAATTAATTTAATTATTGAATCTTTAAAATATCTGATTTAATCATTTGTATTAACAACTACCACGGATGATGAACATTCTTTTTAGCATGCGCAAGTAATGATATTGTTTGGGAAAATAATGACTCCATCCGTTTCTACACATAAAATACAGATGAATTACATAAATTAAAAATTAGTTAAAGGTACTAAATGTATAAAAAAATGCGTTTCAGTTCTATGTTTGGATTTCCGTTTGAGAGGGTAAAAGCATACGGGAAAGCGTGAAACTGCAGTTTGTGGCTTATTGCAGCTCAGAAGATTGTTTGGATTGAGCTTCGTTTCTAATTGACTTATGAAAAAAAGTAACTTTTCTAACTGACTTATCCAACGCAATCTGGATCAACTTTTCTAACTGACTTATGGAAAAATTGTGCAAAACTTACAATCTAATTAGTTATGTAATTCTATTTACTTTAATTAGAGACCAAATAAATTTTAATTTATATTCATGTTTGTTCATCATGTATATTTAATTAATTATCTATAATATATTTTCAAATTTTTCTATGTAATAAATATTTTTATTTTATAATTTTACAAATAAACTATTTATATTTTATCATAATAATTTTACGTGTTTCTTTAAATTATTATCATATTAAAAATATAAAATTTCAAAGACTACTCCATATCCTTTTCAGTCATTTTACAAGTAAACTAACTTTTCTATCAATCATCCAAACAACTTTTAATTTTTTCAACTGACTTTTTAAAAGCATCTATCCAAACATAAATTGCATTACACTAACTGACTTTTACTCTAATTTCAGTTACAAAAGTCAGTTGGGTTATAAGTCAGTTTTGCCCAACGCCAATCCAAACATAAATAGCTTTATTCAAAAAGGAACGGAGAGTGGAATTTAACATAATTTTTATTTGAAAAGACCAAAATGTCCTTATAGGAAAAAACTTCAGTCCAAAAAAAACATTGGGGGAAAGAACACCCTCCAGTAAATAGTTAACATTATCATTGTGAGGAAAGTGAGATAGGACGCAGATCCCACACCCAGACCTAAGGTTCACGAAAACATATTATCATTAGCAGCGAACAACTCTTCCCTAGCTTACATCATGCTCATGAATTAATGAACCTAAATTCAAATCCAAAACCCACTAATTGTTAAATACCAAAAATAGAGAGATTGAAGGAGGTCTTCATCCTTGAGATTGAAAAAATCCAAATCTATACATGGTTCCATTTTGGGAAACACACACTCACTGGAATTTGGGGGTGTTTGGCAACCTTTAGAATGTTTCTCAGAAATATTTTTTCATAAAACGAGATAAATTTTTTTATATATTTATTTCGTAAACTGTAAAAACACTTCTAAAATTATAATTTGTTTTCTATCCAAACGCAATGTTCAGATCACAAGGCTTTTTACCAAGCCCTTGCAATAAACTATGAAACACTCTGCAGTGAGGGAAGGGCTCCGCGTCATGACGAATATGACGATTCAACATAGCAGGTCCTTGAACTCTTGCACGAGCTTGCGAACATCTTCCAACATGAGCGTCGAGCCTTCCGTCGGTGAAGCTCTGAAGAAGGCGTAGTTGTGGATCTGGGCTCTCCATGTACTCACCATCAAAGCTATGAAGAAGGCAAAGTAGGAGGAGAAGTTGCCGACGGTGGGTGAGAAGATCGTCGGTGGTGGGGGAGAAGCTTTTCGACGGTGAAGTGGGAAGCTCGCCGGTGGTGGGTCGAAGTATGGATGGCCCGAAGAAGGAAGGGGCAAAAATGGATCATGGGTGTTGGAATTGCAAATCTTCAGTTTTTTTATGGAAATGATTTCTATGTGGAAGCTAATTCCAGGGTCTCCTTAGCACACCAAATATACTTTGAGGGTGTTTGGATGGCATGATAAGTGTTTTTAAAAAACACTTTTTTTATAAATTGAGGTAGACACCTCTACATGTTTATTTCGTATACCATAAAATCACTTGTAAAATTATGGTTTGGTTTTTATCTAAACACTCCTCTCAAGCATGGAATTTAATTCCATTTCCATTTTCTTGCCTTCAATTCCACTTCCAACATACCAAACGGCGCATAAGAAAAAAAATAAGAGAGTGAGTATGAGAGGATTCATACTCGTTTTTTTAAGGTTCTGTTTGTTATCATGATTGGAATTACTTATAAGCACGTTTTCTGTAAGTCGAGACAAAACTCATTTCAAATATTTACTTGTTTCCGTATATCATGACTAAAAGGTTACTTATAAGCGATTTCAAACAGACTCTAAATGTATCTTCCAAGTAGAATTATACTTGCGTTAAAATTTGCATCATACAAGATGAAAGAAAGAGTATGAATTTATGAGATAAGGTGGATTATGATTTCACAATTATAACCAAAGCAAACTTTTCTATTACCTCATAAGCTGTGTTTCTCATTTCAATTTTGTTTAAAAATATGAAAATTATCACAGAAAATCGAATGCGGTTTGCTATAAAATTTAAAATTTTAACCCCGCGTGTATCTATTTATGGTACTGCCTCCTGTTCTTATTTATGGATTTGTCTAATTACTACTCAGATCAATTCACAACCTTGGGAACTTGAAAAGGTACATTCAGCACCCTAAAATATTTTGTGGATATCCTGAAATATTTTTTAGATGCATTCAGTATCATAAAATATTTTTTAGTACATCTAGCATCTCAAAATATTTTTTGGTGCATCGAGCACTAAGGTAAAAAAATATTTCAGGAGGTTGGATGCATTTTAATCCAAAAAAAAACTGAGATGAGTTGACAACTCACAATTCTTACTTGAAATATTATTGGCATCCTAAAATATTTTTTTAGATGCGTTCAGTATCATAAAATATTTTTTAATACATTCAGCATCTCAAAATATTTTTTTTAGATGCATCTAGCATCTAAAAATCTTTTTGGGTGCATTCAGCACTAAAGCAAAAAAAATATTTCAAGATACTGGATGCATATGAAAATATTTTAAGGTACTAAACACACTCGAAAAATATTTTATGACGTTCGATACATCTTAATCTGAAAAAAACTGGGATGAGTTGACAACTCGCAATTCTAACTTGAAATATTATCGGCATCCTCCGTTGCCAGTTTCTCTCGTGGCTTTCTTGAAGCATTCTTTGTGAATGTTATAAGAGGTTGCGTGTTCGAGACGTGGTATGGTATACACTCCCTCCTTTAAACCAAACAAAACCCTTGAATAACTCTCCATGAGGTGTTTCAAAGCACCTCCCTTTTGGGTCCCAAGGAACCAGACCAAAGAAGACATCTATATTTAGTACTATTTTCCATTCTAATTATAAAAGCTAATTAATTAATTTGAGGAGATTAA